AGGGACAGCGCAGGAGGGGAAGACCCTCTATGAGATGGATTTATTCGGTGACTGGCGTAATCGGGATGGGTGTGTCAGAGGCGGTGTGGTTGGCGCAGGATAGAGCAGGGTTTGGAGCTGTTGTGCATAGGGTCGCTATGAGTCGGAAACGACTCGATGGCACATAACAACAACAACATCTTATTGCACAGAACATCTTGTGGACATTAAGACATCCATGCCCATGTTATTATTCAATATGCTCCATACTTGGCATTATATAATTGGCACACATAATGTATGTGTTATATAAGTCTATAATTTTTGAAAAACAAATTGTGCCATGTGTGCATCTTTATAGTATCAGAAAGAAAAAAATTCAGTGCCCCCAACACAGTCTGTACTCTGTGAAATTGGCTTATTTTTATTATACTTTGGAAATATTTGAAGAACTTTAATTCATAGCTAAAATGTTCATAAAAATTAGTTTTTCTTGGTCTTCTTCCATCTGTATGTTTGTGGGGCAATACTTAAAACACAGCCCCATCAAGAATACCCATGCCGTGTGGAAAGGACCCTGTGTCTACCGTATCTTCTGCTTTGGTTCAGCGGCTTTGGATTTGGTTGGAAAACCTTTAGGGATATCAAAAGGCAAGCTCACACAAGTCAATTTTCTTCACCAAAGCAACAGAAAAAAAATGACCAAGATATTGAAGAAAATGGTCACGTTGTACCAAAGAGATACCAAACTATTTTTAAATTTCTCTTCTCTATTTAGTAAACTTGTTTTTACATTTCTCATAAAGCTTGCAAAAAGAGTTCTCTGTTCTGTTCCATCAATATCAAAATATTGTATCTGCAAACCCAATTTTCCTTAATTTTAGATATAGACTAAGAGAGATCTACACTGTAGGCTTTGAGAAAAGGCTTATTATTTAATTTGGGTCTTTGGGATTCATTTAGTCTTTTTTTTTTTCCTGCTAGATTTCATGTTTTGTCTTTATTCTCTTTTTTATATATTTTTTTTTCTCTCAGATTGCAACTGAGGGAGAAAAGCATGACTTACATCACCTAATTTCCTAACCTATTTTATCATTTATAGTGACACACGGATGGAGGAGCTCATCTGCTCTTCCTCCTGTTGTCCTGGACATAGCTCTCATAGGGGCAGCAGTTCTTGAAATACTATAAATCTGTTGTTCAATCTAAATGTGTTCTTATACGTTGTGAGTTGTCAAAAAGAAGCAAAAATTATGATTCTAGATTACACCAATATGGATCGTGACAGTTCCGACTTGTCTGTGTAATAAATGACCTGAAATACTGTTATGGAACAAGATCTCAGTTTCTGATCTTGTCTTTGCTCAGAACTGCCTGGATAACAAAAGAATGGAGCCCATCATTTCAGCGGTTCTTCAGATCCTGAGGCAATGCTGCCCTAAGAGCCCCCTGCCCTTGCCCACGGCCAGCAGTGCCTATGCCTTCCCTCTCCCTGACAGCATCACCTTTGAGCCTCCACGAGTTCTAACTGAAGGTAAAGTATGTGGCTAACTATCCACTTTACGTGAGTGCTTGCATTTCGGTGGTATTTCAAAGGCATGGGGATGAAAGTAGAGTCAGTTGTTTTACAGGTCATTCATGATTGTCCAGTAAACTAATTAAAGATATGCATGAGAAAATACTTTCCCCCCCTTAATCCAAATGAAAAAAATACCAAGCTCACTTACTTTGTCCTTAACGGCTAACTGTTGCCACTTTGTCTGGTAGCTATTGAATGTCTGTACAATCATCTCAGCTAATTTAAAAATCTATTCACAATCTCATCATCTGGTCTGTCCATTGTCCTAACCGGTTTTGAAATTAATTTGCCCTACGGACGAAATTGAATTACAACTCCTGCTATTTATAACTCAGTGCTAGTTATATTGAAATCCTTAAAA